GGACACATAATACTCAAGGATGAGAGTAATAATCATAAATACACAATGGTGCTGTCTCTATCTGTAGCAGGAATATTGGAAATAAAATTTCATTTACATTCTTTAGGTAGATATTAGCAGATTTGTGCAATGCAGTGTCATGCTCACATTTGACCACACCTAACTGTTATAACATTTTACAACTGTGATGTGTTACATAGTTTCAATGGTGACGTGTGACACACCTATGTCTAACCGGCTCAGGTGCTGTGACTCATTTAGAACTTTAGTAACCTCCTAGGACCTGGCGTCCACATATGTGGACATCACATTTTGGGTTATTTAGACCAAAATGCTCAATTTTGCTCTACAGGGGCCTGATATCCACTTAAGAGGACATTATACTGCTACTGTTCTATCGAAATTTTAAACAAATATCCTCATATGTGGCTCTCATTTTTCTTAGAAACAAAAATCAGGTAAAAAAGAAAAATCTGGTCATTCTTTGTTTTACATTAATTGGGTCCCAATCAGCCCAAATATCAAAGAGAAATCAAAAATGCATGCTGTGGAAGAGTTCGGGTCTTAGGAGGTTAATGAACAGAATTAATATGACTGTAATGAGTTTAAAAAAAATGAACACAGAGGTTAAATTTTGGTGAAATATCTTTATTTTACTCCATGTGATAAGCCTACACTTGTTGTCATTAACTCTCCTTTTTATACATAAGATAGTAATAGTACAGTATTCACACAAACATTGCTAAACACGAGTAGACATATTTCAAATGGACAGACACAATTCAGAATAGCACAAAGCTGAGTATTTAGTCAGTGACAAGTAATAGAAGAGCTGCTCATGTTAAAACGGTTGTTCGCGTTGCAATTTAAACACTTTAACTTTCAAATCCATTTTTTAAAAACACTGGACATTTCAAAAAAAGCTACAGCAAACGATCAGTGTCTTTTGTTGTGCTATGGCTGGTTAGTTGGTAGACGTGTAGGCTTTAACTGTGACTGTAAATCAAGCAACAGATCACACTGGCAAAAAAACAAACCCCCCCCCCAAACTCACTAGGCGTAAATGTCACCTGTAGGTGGCGCCTCAGCAAACACGCAAACAATAAATAAAAGAAAACTTTAAAACATGCGTATCGGCATCTGTACTTTTGGTCACGCGTACAATGTTAGCTGTATGTCCAAGTTACAAAATAAATAAACCAACAGTCCTACACAGGCAATAGCAATACAGCAAAAGATATGGCAACTAACGTCTGCACTTTTTTTTTTTTTTACAGCGAGGGTGTTAGTAAGCTTTAGCTGTATCTGAGGACATCTATCTATCAGCTCTACAAACAACTAGTGAAGCCATGAACCAGTCAGCAGGCTTCTTTGATATTTTACAATATTGTGGCTTGATTCAGTGCACAACGTTGGTGAACAAACAAGCAAGGCATCTGTGTTCTTATCCATGTAAATCCTGCGGGGTGAGCATGCTGCATGTCGTTGCAATAGTGTAATCAACACAACACGAATCGTCGATGAGATGGTGGGTGCGTCGTAGCGACCAAAGTGACAACTCTCCATCGACGTGGAGAAACTGATTTTCATAGTATTAGGGGACCGTCTACTCATAATGCCTCCTCAGACATGTTAGTACAGTGCAGAGCTCATTCAACAACATAAACTTTTAGGTTAGTAGGCTTTCTAATTTGTTTGGGCTGGTTTCCCTTTTACAATGCATATCCATTTCCTTATTACACATCCTTCTGCAGTACTGTTAAATACAAATTTGTGTTAATCCGGTCCGCTCACACACTTGTATTTGGCAATGTAAGCTCGCAGACGTGTTAGGTATAAGTAGTTCCACTGACACAATGAAAAGGTTTTACTTGAGCCTAATGTGGTAATATAATGTTTTGCAATGATAACAGTTCACTGGTTGAGAGCCAGTCGTTACTTCCTCAAAATAAGACAAAGTCGACAAATGATAAGCCGTTTAGGAGACAGAACTCTCCATTTGAAACAAAAACAAAAGGATAGGCAGAGAACTCAACCTTGTAGAGTCATTTAAATAATCCCAAGCAGTTTTACTTTACAACAACAAGAGTAACAGCACTAAGATTCTAAACTGTGCAATAACTCAAGAGCAGTTAGCTATGTCAGTCTGCAATCGTATATAATGTCATGCAACTGGATGAAAATCTGAACATATCAATTAACTTATTCCTTGTTTTAAATGTTTACTTTTGAACCATTTTTTCCCCAAATAATTTGTTTCAATACAGTAATGCACATCCACACGGTTACTCTGAAAAGTCACTGAGTTGAAAAGGGAAAAAAAAAGAAGAAAAAAAAAAGACAGGTCCTCCATCCCGATGGCCGTGTGCCAAGGGTGGAGGAAAGTGGCCACTGAGAGACAAGCTGTTGGTGGGGAGGAGACAGGCTGGCAGGGGCTGAGGTGTACTAGCATGAGCAGCTGCTCTCAGTTACAGTCATCTCTGGCTGTTTCTCCAGTTTGATGTCGATCACTGAGAGAAGTTAGTTAAGTAACACTTCACATGAATTGCAGATTTCACTTCTTTTTTTTTT